CGTCCGGATATAGCTTATGCTGTTAATATATTTTCTCAGTTCCAAAGCAATCCTGGTAAGTTTCACTGGGAAGGATTACTTAAACTTTTAGGATACGTTTCCAATACCAGACAGCATAAACTTAAACTGGTATGCAAGGAACTGAAGCTCAATATATATTCAGATCCGGATTTTGCTTCAAGCAGGGATGATATGGTATCTATTGGTGGACAAATAGCTTTGTTGGGAGAATCACCTGTATCTTGGCATACATTTAAAGAAAGGGGAGTGAGTTTGTCTACTATGGAGGCTGAATTTATCTCCATGACTGAATCAGCAAAAGAATTAGTTTGGTTTAGAAATATTTTGGATGAATGCATTCAGTTTAAGATTGCAAGTAACTATGTTTTGAAACCAATACTGTTTGCTGATAACATAGCTGCTATATGTTTTACAAAATCACCCATTGAAAACTCAAGGACAAAACATATAGATGTGAAACTATTTTTCATTCGTGATCTATTGAACAGGGAAATTTTTGATTTAAAATATGTTCCAAGTAAAAATAATCTAGCTGATTCCATGACAAAACCGCTGACTAAGCATAACCTGATAAGATTTTGTGGAACAATTTTCTTATGAAATTTGTTTTTGTGTGTATTTAAAATTAAGAGTTTTGTTTATTTGAAAATAATATGTTATAAGTCATATTATGATGGATATTAGGTAAAACTGTATATTGTAGAATGTTGTATGAGTGACGAGGGCCCTGAGTAAAAGTATTGAGTGTGTGATCCTATATATATCTTTATACTGTTTTGTAACATGTTGGACTTTCTTGTTATGGTAAATTTTTTGAATAATGGGATAAGATGTTCCCAAAGGAAAATTTTTCTTGAAAATTTCTGAATTGAATGAAATTGTGATATTTATTTATTCTTGTTTTGAAATTTGTAAAGATACTGGCATTCAGTTTTTATTTCAGGTCGGAGATGATGATGTGGGGGGCATTTGTTGGAAAATATAACTTATTGTAAACCTTTTACTGCATCATCTCTCCTCCTTGAAATGTTTATTAGGCTTAGTTCTTATTTTAATGTAATATATTAGTTACTTCTACTTCTTTTTCTTACTGCCACTGTTTGCGTTGAGAACGGACTGTTTCAACCTAATTGAGATGCAAAAACGAAACGTGATGTTACGTCATCTGGAAAGCCGATTCGTGCCGATAGCTGATTGGTTGCCGTGAGATGACGTCATGCCTACTTCTGCTATAAGTATCTCGCGTTGCTCTGGCTCAACCCTTCTAGTTCCTGCTTTCCTGGCACTTGGGTGTGTGTTTCTAGCCCCTTCCGAAGGATGCGTGCAGTCTGGTAATAAGTTCCTTGGTTCCTGTATACAAGATGATTGTTCCAGAATAAGTTCCTTGGTTCCAGAGGCTACCATGTGGGTAACTGCCATGGGCGGCATCCATATTCTTCATGAAGGTGGCATTTAAAATACGTTAGCGGCGATTCCTCGTGTTCAACTACTGTAAACGGAGTTATGCCGGTTTTAAGTGCTTTCAAGAACTTGATTTGAATTTCAGGTGTTTTCTTTACCATTGATCATGGACTTTTTGAATGTGTAGCCAATTTCATTTGAAGCCGCATAATTACTGTTTAGGACATTTTGTTTGTATTGAATGCCAGTGTTTTTGGAGACCAGGTAAAAACACTATTTGATAAATGATGGTTATATTATATTTTTCCTAAGACTCTGATATTGTTTAAATTTATTTTTCTGTGTTTTTATTCTTTATTATATTGTTAATAAATTGGTTAAGTTTGAAACCTTTTTATTGTCTTCAATGTCTGCACAACATATTATCTCAGGGAGCTTTTATTTCTGCTATTGCTAAAATGTTTAATTTTATAAACTTTAAACTTTGCTTTAGCATCAACCTTTACGGCTACGCATATGCGTGTGCACAAGCGCAGAATACGTTTTCGCGTTCGCGTTTAATGTATAATGGACGGCATAAGCTAAAATTATATAATTATCTATTTCAGTTAATGTTGATGATTGCGTTGTTCCTTAATCTTCGAACTAGATCCGGCTTATGATTTTTTTGCAGACTGTAAGAGCAATTTTATAAAAGTAAGCTTGAACTTTCGATTATGTCAAATAGAATTTCCGATGCTGGAGCTCCCGAAGGATCTACAAAAGGAAAGTATGTTTCGATGTCCATCAAACAAAAAGTGGATAAAGGCATATCCTTTGTTTATCTAACCGTTCCGAAATCTGTTTATCAATTTCGCGCTGCTCTGCGCCGGGGGGGGGGGGGGCTTTATTTCAGATACTTCTTGCTTTTTAATTTTATTGCTTCATTAGTCTTTTCTAAAATTCTTGTGTATTCTTGTCCGAATATGGCTCCTGAATTTCGCATATTAACTTTGTGAAAAATTAGTGGCCAGCATGTTGCTCGCTTTTCAGAGGGGTGCAAAAAGTCGAAAAGCACTAGATTTGTTCAAATAGTTATCAAGAAATAATAAGTATTATTTTATCAAGAATTACAAAAACTTAAGAGTGTACTTATACAGTGTACAAATAAAATATTTTAACAAATGTTAGTTCTAAGATTTTTTTTTATTTTGAAAGCATAAACATTTTAATATTTTTTCAAATTTTATAAAGAGCCAATAAATACAATAACTTTGTAAAAAGACATAAATTTAAGAATTTACTATGCTTTCATGGTTCAACATCCTGATTTGCCGGTTCATATCACATAACCCCAAGTGATCTCATCTCGTATAAATTACGCTACAAAAATCTAATTATCTACATTAATTTCAAGTTAGATCTTTATTTGAAATACAAGTTTAAAATGCAAGAATTATTTCAATTCGTATGAATAACTTACTCAGAAATTATGTAAAACCGCAGTGCTTTACTTCGCTAGTGCATTCTCATTAGAATTCATGACTTTAACCCTTGACTTTGGCTTTTCTATATTGTCACCTTTGGGTGAGAGGTGCGATTCTATCTTAATTGACTTAATTACCGTGAAATGGCCTTAGGGCATAAAATTGAGCTATCTGGTAATAATTCTATGTAATTTTATACCAGTATCGAAAGAAACAATCTGATAAGAAATGGCTGCAATTTAATTTGAAAATGAAGCGTAAAAGGTTACCAGTGAAGATATTCCATTTGGCATCAGTTGTACTACTACTGACGATTTTATCGCCTGCACCGGCAAAACGGAAAAGTACCAAAAATTCATATTTTACAAATTCTGGTAGCCACAATTCAGCAACTGCTGCTAATAACTCAAACACTCTATCACAGCCGACTTGCTGTCCGAACGTTTGTGCAGAACTCCATTGCTAAATGATTTCTTTTCCTATATATAATTGTACATTACGACTTTTTATACCAATTCTCTAGTTTGGTAAAATATCTTTTTGTTGGAGAAAACTACAGCATCTTTCTTTTCTATTGATAATAGATTTGAAGCAGTAAGCATAATAAGTATTGGCAGCCGAAGAAACAGAAATAAAATTTTTTTAAAGCAACAGACAAAAATCGCACACACGCAGATTGATAATCATACACCTTTTTTTTTTTTACCTCGCACATATACAGATCAGTAACCATCTGTTTTTTGCAAAGGCAAGTACCAAAATTTGTTACGTGAAATATTTATGCCTGCATGTGTATCACGTATACGTGTAGTAGATTCGTTCGTTGCCTAAATTGCGCAATTCATAGACTTTTTTTAAGTTTAAACAGAATGCTGTGTACATGGTATTCTTTGAAATTTATTGTTGTTATGTTAATTTATTAAAGCGAGGTGTGTGTAGTTCTTAGATTCGTTCGTTGCCTACATTGTGTAAAGTTAAAACGTGTCGCCATGTACATGGATTCTTGTCAAATATTTTTGGTTAGAAACTTTACGTTTTTGCTATCTAAATTTTTTGTTTCGGATTTGTAGCTTAAATTGTGTGTTCAAAACGTAGTTTTTGCATGTGTGAAAACCACTTTTTTGGAGACATTTTAGGCTTAAAGTTCGAAATGTAGACAAAAAATTTAGACAGTAATATGGCAGCGTGAAATTTTTTGCCAAAAATGTTTGCTGACTTGAGGAAGCATATCAGAGTAGTTCCGAAAATAATAAAGGTACATATTCTCAAAACTGAAAAAACTACCGCCGCCATCATATAAATGTTACCAGTACATAGCTTCTGAAATCAGAATTTTGTATGTACAAAAAAATTGGTACTTTTCCATTTTGCCGCCACAAGCAATAAAGTCGCCAAAAATGGTAGAACTGATGCCAAACTGAATTTCCTCGCTGGTAACCTTTTACGCCTCATTTTCAAAACAAGTCGCAGCCATCCAGATAGCTCAATTTTATGCCCTAAGGCCATTCGCAGTAGTTAAGTCGATTAGGATGCAATCACACTGCTCACCTGAAGGCAAAAATAGAGAAAGGGCAAAGGGTTAAATTCATCAATTTTAATGAGAATGCACCAGCGAAGTAAAGCACTGCGGTTTCACATAATTTCTGAGTAAGCTATTCGTACGAATTGAAATAATTCTTGCATTTATACTTGTAATATAAATTAAGATTTAACTTGAAATTAACGTAGATAATTACTGAGAGAATTAAATTTTTGCAGCATAGTTTAAGGGAGATGAAATCACTTGGGGCCAAGTGATATGAAATGGCTAATCAGGATGTAGTACCATGAAAGCATAGTAAATTCTTAAATTAATGTATTTTTACAAATTTATTGTCTTTTTACAAAATTTAAAACAATATTGAAATGTTTATGCCTTCAAAATAAAAATTTCTTAGAACTAACATTTGTTACCATTTTTTATGTGTATACTGTATATTGTCGCCAATAAAGTCTGCTTGCCGAGATTTGCGGCGGCGAAACAGAAAAGTAACAAAAAATTTTTTCATTAACGTTTGAAATTCACAAAAATTGGGGGGGGGGGGGAAGTCATGATTATTGAGAAAATCTTACCTTGGGATAATTCATAGTAAAAAATGATTCCAAATTACTAAACAGGTTTTGGTCCACTCCTGTCAAAGGCTTCAAGATTGATACTCCAGGTAATGGAACTTCGGGAGATGGTAGCTGGAATTTTTTATGAAGCTTCAGTTTCCTGTTCAGGACATAAAAACAAACTTTTCTATTTATAGGTGATGGGCTTGTTATTAAGCAATTATATAAATAAAATTAAAAATGGCTGATTTTCATATCTATCATCCCTTTGAGAAAAATCTAGAAATTTTAAAATTTTACAAAGTTAAAAACACTTTTAATATGGGAAAAATAACGGGTTATAAACGGGTTAATGTACTCTTAATACGGGAGATTTGTTAATACGAGAAAATTTATTAAACTTCAATTTGATGACTACTGAAAAGACTTCTCACTATGACTGCAAATAGTATCCATAAATGTTGAAAAAGATTTTCATGAACTTAAAGAGAAATTAAATCTAGGCATAAAAAATATTAAATTTTAACTAAATTAAAATTAAAATTAAAATATATTTATGTCTAACTTATCCAGGTAACTGCAGCTCTGGAAACAGATAATCATATTTCACTAAGTATAGCTAAAGTCTGATATAATCTGGCTTACTTGGGACGTGAGATACAAGATTATAGAATTAAAATTGTATAATGCTGCAAAATGATTTTTTTTTGCATTATTTCTAACATACTGAAGAATGCATAGATTTGCATAATGTAATTCTGCAAAGCACTTTATGAGTAAAATCTGTTTGCAAATAAATTTATTCACAATTTTATTATATTTAATCAGTTTTCTTAATCTGAAGTCATCAGTACTGCAAATGCAAAAAGCTTTTCCAAATTAAGTTCAAATGCAGTTTCTGGTCTTTTTCAGACCTATATAAATTAAGGTATTCTGTAAAATATGAATATTTGGCACGATTCTGTTATCAGAACAAAGAAAAACTGCAGGGAAAATATATGCACAAAAACACCAAATCCAATAAAGGCACCCATTTAATCGCAAACTGTGTATAAATTTAGATTTCTCTGAACACATGTGAACTTGGAATGGACGTAAATTTAGATAGTTCTAAATTTGCAAGGTCGCCTTTGAAATACCGGTTTAATTTTTTAATAATGTTATGGATCTAATAATTTCTTAATTGCCTGAAGACGAAAAATCTGCAATAATATTTTTTCAGAGAAAAGGCATCATTTATGACAGAAAATTATGCTCAAAGAATCACGAGATGAAATTGTATTTTGTTAACTCAACAGCAAAATGGTATTGCAGGAAGGAACACTGGAATAAGAAGAAAGGATTAAGAATACAAAACTGAAATGCTCTCTGGATGAAATTGAAAATACTCTTCCTTACAGATGCGAGGTTCATCTAATTTTGGTGATGAAACGGACGGAGACATCTAGCAGAATATCTTTGCAAACTGGAACAGTTACATACATGAGGTATATGTCACAGATTTTTAATTGCATAACCTACATTGAAAATTGGCAGAGCTGATAAAACTATTGAAGTAGATAAAAGCCTTTTCACTGGAAGAAAGAATAGATTCTGGTGTGTTTTTTGGACACAATGGGTTTTTGGTGGATTGTGCAGAAAATCAAATGAATACATTTTTGGTTGCTGTTCCATATCCATGGGTGAAAACGTTACTGAACGTCATACAGAAAAATATTACAGAAGGAAGTATTAATTATACCGACTAGTAGAAAAAATTGTGAAATGCTGGCTTTGAATTGTGAAATGCTGGCTTTGAACATTTTACTTTTAATAATAAGTATAATTTGCGGACCCTGAAAGTGGATATCATACACAAAGAGCAGCTATGGGCCATGCTAAATAGCATAATAAACACCACTGAGACAGTGCCTAGATTCTTATTTGTCCAAAACAATGTATATATGTTTAATGTGGCACGCACACACACGCGCAAAAAAATGCTTTCAGATTTTACTTTACAAATTTCTATCTTTATATTTTAACATTTTTGTGCATTACCTTTATTATTAAATATCATGTTCTTCGCACTTAAACCATAAAATTCAAAATTTAACAGCAGTATCACAAAATAATTTTTAAATCAGCATATCTTTAGAACTTCCGATACAGGGACTCCTGCGCTGGAGATAAAAATGTTTTTTAATCCCTGTTTGCCACTGCTTGCTTTGAAATCGCCGAGTTTGTTAACAAAAAAATTCCTTAAAGTGTTACAAAATATGACATCAATAATAAAACAAATTCCAAATTAGTGCTTCCAGATGGCCATATTCGGTGGAGAGGATTACGTTATTCAAAATTTGATGGCTCTAGGTACCATTGTTTTTTTACAATGGGAGAAAGGTGCATACAGTGTTATGACACTCATTACGTGTGTTCTAAACATACATAATGACAGTTCTCTACCAGTTTTCTGCAGATACTATGAATAGTTTATGATTAAATATATCTACATATTACAGCAGTTTCCCCCCAACAAGAATCAGTTCATACTTACAGATCTAATTTTACTTTCTACAATAATTTTTTACTATACAACTTACTCCAGCTCACTTCATTACACAACTAATATCTGCCTTGCTTCTTTCAGTTAGTTCATGCTTAACACACTTCGAAGCTTCCTAAATTATTAGAATGACAAGATTTCAATAATAATTGCAATCAAGTGAAGAAATCCCTTTCTTTTGTAATCATAAAACGAAATTCGCTGCATTAATATTTTTTTTACCTCAACCTGACATTTATTTCTATTTTAAGTAAACAAAAGCAATATTTTTACAAACATAATAAAATACAATAAATTTTTATATCTCATTAAGTATCTACCTTATGACTTGAGTTTTAAATAAAGACACAGCCTCAATATTAAACATTGAAATCAGTTTAAATATTTAAAAGTGCCTAAGTAATATAAATAATTTAAAATATTTCCATAAACTAATAATCTAATATCTCGACAATCATGAATAATAATAAAAATTTATTTAAGCCTAGTTTGTTAAATTAAGAATGAATCAAGACAAAGCAATAAATCAGTTTTTGCAGTCACAATATATTTTAAATAAAATTCTAATGATAATTTCAAAGTTTTTCATTTTTGTATCTATAAACTATACTTTGAAAAGTCCAGTAATACCTATTTTATCAAAAATTACCAAATGAAATCACTTTTTTAACAATCCCTTTGTTACAAAGACAATTTACCTATTTTAAACATTTCCCAAATTTCTGCAGAACAGAACAAGGAAACAAATCTGACAAGGGAACAAGGAAACAATCAATACAAGGAAACAGATCTGATCTACTTGGAATTAGTTTTAACATATGCTTCCCGAATAAATTTTGAATATAAATCACAAATGAACAACAGTACAGGACTTAGAGACAGCATTAAAAATTATTCCTCTTAATGTTTATATATAACGATTTTTTTTAATTAACCTTAAAAATTCTTGATTTGCTTATCTTTGCACCTCTCTACAAACCATTAAGTTTAGTGTAGTAAAAGTAACATTAATAAAAAATACAAAACGATTATACGTCTTTAAGATTTGTTTACAACGTAATTATAAGATAAAAACTTGTTTTACAAAGTCGGCAATTTTTAAAAATTTGTTTGTTTAATGTTATGAATGATCATTTTTTACTAATTCTAAAACAGGAAAAAAAAACTGCTCATATCCAAGAATAAAATATAGAACAGAAAATTACAAGATTTGTGAGCTCGGAAAAAAATCCTATAAAATTTACGAAATTCTTCAGTAGAAAATTGTTAAATTTTTTAATTCAAAATTTCAGGCTAAAATTTAACGATTTTTAATTTATTCATGTTATTTTCTGATTACTTACACTTATATAATTACTATTTAATACGTGATAATTATTTGTCTCAAATCTTACGCAGAAAGCGAAACATTGTTCCCTTTAAAGGCGTTTTAATGAGTTTAAAAATATACATTTTTAAAATACTGACTCGATGACCACATAAACATCAATTCGGTACATCTGCACCGAAATCGAAGTTGTCAAGAGCCTCGCCCACCTCACTAAGCCTAAATGCCTTACCTTTAAGCATCCCAGACCTTGTAACCTCATTCTACATACACCGGTGCGAACAGCACCAGACCGGCGTGCTCAAGTATAGAATAAACACAAGTTTTAAGACACTTTGAGCACATTCCGAATTAAATAAAATTGATACAGTTTAAAAACTTACCCGTTTAAAATAGCAATTATGTGTAAAAGCCACACGAAACACCATCCACCAAAGAAAAATATGGCAAATCCATACAGAGTATAAAACAGCAGAACCATTTCGAACTCCCAGCCCCTCCGCTGGTAGCGATTAAAAGGAGTTGCCAATTGACTGAGTTAAAAAACTTCAACTTTCACTCGCGCTGAGGCAAGAACATGAAGTCGCTCTCGGCATTTGTTTACATTTCGTAATCAATTCTAAATTATCCATTTGCTTACATAATCACCAACAGCTTAGTAATGGTACGGCTGTGGCTGCTATCTGCTATGAAGCCGTCACAGCACATTAACCTCGGCATTCGAAGGCAATATTTCTCTTCTTGGCCTTTTCAAATTCATCATGTCCCACAAAACAATACTTCTAACATTTTATTATTAAAGGAATTATTATTTTAAAAAGTAATACTTTCAAAGAACGATAAGTACAAAAATATGAATTTTACAGCTTTGCATATCAACTAAATTTGCAAATGTTGATAGTTAATTCTAATTTCGTTTCTTTTATTCATCTATTTAGATTTTTTTTTTTTTCAATCAGACGTGCTAAATACATTTTTCTGTCATTTTGTGAATTTAAAAAAAAAATTGCTTTACGACAGATTAGTTTTCTAATGATGAAAAATAAGTCACAGATCTCATTTCAAACTCTTTTATCCCCAGTTTTGAATTTACTAATATTTATGGGGAGGATATGTAGAATTTGTCGTCTTTATCATTGAAGGATCGCGCATAAATTTCCTTACAGCTGTAAAATTTATCTATTATTGATGCTATAAATTGAACCCAAAATTGGTGAAAGAATAGTAGAGGTTGACAAAACTCCTTTTACGAGAAGAAAGAGTAACATAGGATGTGTTTTTTCCTCGGCAGTCAAAAAAACACAGCGCACGAAACCTTTTCTACTGTTGTATATGAATATAGAAAATATATGTGGTTGCATATGAATACCTCCGGATCTGGTATAAAAATACTTACTTTTCCGTCACGAAAAAGCACTGCTAAGATGTGTAGAGATGTGCCAAAGATAGCAACTATATGATCATCTAAGTTATCTCAGGTTTATGAGTAAATTGAGCCAAATATTCACATTTTGCACCCTTCCTTTAGAACTGCACGAAACCTAACTTAATAGATAGATGACTTTCTTCATATACACTATTTGATTAAAAGCATTTTTTATAGAAAACGGAAAGAATAATGCATTTACAATCCGGAATTTACCAATAAATGAAGAGGAGGCAGTGAAATTACTACAGTGTAAAAATTTTTTTCATAAGCGAAAATTTTTAAAAAATGATCAGGAAATGAAATTGTGTTTTATCAATTACGGAACACCAAAAGAACGCTGCAAAATTAGATCGTGTCGAGGAAAAAATAGGTGACAGATGGTAGTGAGACACTTGGTTTGAAGGATCGCGCATAATTTTTCCTTACAGCTGTAAAATTTATCTATTATTGATGATATAAATTGACTTCAGCTGAGTCTGCAATTAAAAATGAACCCAAAATTGGTGGAAACAAAATTGGTGGAAGAATAGTAGAGGTTGACAAAACTTTTACGAGAAGAAAGAGTAACATAGGATGTGTTTGTTCCTCGGCAGAGGGATTTTTGATGCCTATGTAGGGAAACAAAAAAGTTTTTTCTTGCAACCGTTTCGGATCGCTGAGCTAAAACTTTACTTAGCGAAACTGAAAAAAATATCGCAGACGGTAATACAATTTTTTTCTCATTGTTGGAAAGCATACAAAACAGATGATTTGAAAGAAGCCGCATCTCACAGGTAACCACAGATGCAATTTCATAGACCCCAAACACTGGATGTCATACGCAAACAGTTGAAAGAATGTGGGACAGTGCAAAATGACATAATAAACACCAACATCGCCCCTCACAGCACCATCTTGAATCATACTTATTAGAGTTTATGTGGCGAAGATTACTTTAAAAAAAATGAAATTTTTTCCGAAGTGTAGCAAAACATCCAAAAATTCATGACCCCTGTTCAAATTTAAATTGCATTTCATTTATAATATATTTAAAAATTTATTAACACTGTTGTAATAAAACATATCTTACGTTTTTTATAACGGAAAAGTATCCAGAAAAGATATTCAGTTCCCGTAAGGAATCCATTGCTGTTTGCAATATT